AAAACCGCCAAGAACACCCTCCAAACCGAAGCTAAACCACCGAGAAACACTCCACAAACTTAGCCACTATTTCAGGCCTAAGAATCCCCAAGAGTTTCTATAATCTATAGCTATATGGTTGATTTATGGAGCAAAAATGAAGAAGGCTGAAAAACGGACCAGAGAGTGAGAAGAGAGAGTTGCCTTTTTTTTTTTATGAAAGAGGAAGAGTGATATATTAAATAATAAGGTCATAGTTAAAAGGAAAAAGTTTGTGTCCTTTTTCAATTTGAAATTGCCGTGTCAAAGCTTCCAAGGCAAGCTAAATGATAAATATCTCAACCGGGTCATAAAAAATCGTAAGCCCAATAATTGTTATTTGAACCACATAAGCCCACATCTTCCCCTCTTGAGCAAAGTGCTACAGCAAAGACCGAAAATATAGACTTGCCAGTTCTTAATTACTGTCTTTTTCTTCCCAGCAAACTGCCTATGAAGATGCGCCAACGCATTGGACGGGGAAACAATTATTAGCGAGATTTTAGTTTATTTTAATCACAAGGCATCTGCAATGAAATTTTTGTTTTTTATTTCATTCCGTCTCATTCCTTACAGCACCTTACAATAAAAACTATTGAAAGCATTGTCGCATCGCGAATTACATGTCATAAGAGAAGTTCACATAAATGACTCACCTGATTTTGCTGAAGCTGTTTTCTCTTTCTGAGAAGATTTGAAGAACCCAAAATGCTTCTTTATTCAACACACAAAAAAAAAATTAGACATCACATAAATAATATCTGAAAATTAAGAAGAAAGAGAAAAGGTAAGGCAAAAAGATGTAAATTAGTACTTGAAAATGTGTAGCAGGCAAGGCTTGTGCGAAACCAGGGACGTGCTCCATAGAAGTATGAGTGCTAGCAGGTCCCAAAATGTCCTAAAATTCAATAATAAAATATATATCATTGAGAATTTTCCAGGGCCTTGAACTGATTCAGAATATTGTGCTGCTTTCACTGAACTTGCCTGGAAAAAATTACACAAAGGAGAGCTAGCAGTATCATCAAGATACAAATTCTTTTCTCCTTCCTTTTGCTCTTTTATTTTGTTTTTCTTCTTGATTTTCTTGTTCTTTTCAGCACAATTTCGTACACATCGAATTGTGGAGGACCTGATGATGCATCTGATATCATAGACAAATCGTAGTCATCTTCCTCCTCATTCACATATGTCCCTTTTCTTTGATGATGATTTTTATCAGAGGTCTTGCTGTATTGATCTGTAGAATTGAAGTATTGATCCAAGTACATAGTCCATCCCGATTCGTATCCACTGCTGCACGCAGAAGGTGATATATTCATTCTTAGTTTCTGCACATAAAGCAAGCTCACCCGAAGAATGAGTCTTTCACTCCTCCAGGAGGCCCTCGAGTTTCAAATATGTCTCTGTGGAGGATCCTTAAATGTATAGAGGAGAGACCGAGAGAGCTTACAAAAGAGAGAGAATGATTTACAATGATTCCTCTTTGTTAGTTCCTATTTATAAGTAAAAGAGAAAAAAAGCGTCGAATGACATGAAACCAAACAAATCATACTCGATCCTAGACTATTTTTATCCTTCCCTCTATCCTTTTGCCTTATTGTTATATCTGTTGTGAGAAAAATCAAAATTGCTAGTTGTCTTGGTCATTGGGTGGCCCGGGGTGGGGAGGGAGTTGGCCATTGACAATTGTTGGTTGTGAAAATGAAAATGTACGTGACACATGCATTAAGAACCGATTGCAATCAAAATGGATTTACCTAATAATTTTAAATTTATCGAGTAAGGATTTAAATATGTTAAAGTATGTTATAAACATGACTATCCTATTCCTATCATTGCCGCAGTTGTTGAACTAATAATCTTGTAATTTAGATTTACTTTACAATTAGAGGTTGAAAAATGGACACGAACTGGTACGGGCAAGAAAGCTACCTTTCCTCCCAAAACAATTATGGGAAAACTACATAATTACTACATTATAAAGATATATTTCAAAATTGACAAACTCCCTAAAAATTTCCATAAATCAGATGCGAAATCATAATCAATGAATAAGGTCACAATCCCGTCGAAATACTTCTGATTTTTACTGCTTTGGAGAAGTTGAAGCTGGCTATGGCCGAATCGGATTTTTCCAAAGCAAAAACTAATTCCTTTGTGGTCTGATTCGAAGGTAAACATATAATCACCATTAATCCTCGATTTTAAGCTACGATCAATGAATGTTGTCACAATTCTATAGACATACTTCTGATTTTCATTTTTTGAGAGATTGAAGTTCGGCCGTAGAGGAATTGAATTTTCTGTGTATGATTAAGAATGCTAGTTCTGCACGTTTGCCTGTTGTACAGAGGTCACACGTCGCTTATCTAGTGAATGATACATGCAAGTATGATGAATTGGTTGAGCTTGTTCTTTCAGAATTGGGGCTTAATTGTGCAAATTTAGCTGTGACAATGACATATTCTTTGGATTCTAATTTTCCTCCAATTCGGATTATGAGCAATAATAATGTCCTAACGTATTTGACGTTAAAATCTTTGGATGGGGTTTTATCGAGTTATCCTATTATGGTTGATGTTATCACTGCAGTTTCATGACACTCAAGATATACATTGCAATGCTTAGAGTCGTTGACTACTTCTGTCGAGTCATCAACAAGTGTGTTTTCTTTAGAACAAATAGCTCAAGAAATTTGTGAGTCAGTTGTGACTGCTGACAAGGAAAACATTGAAAATGTGACATTCGTATCTGAAGCAGATGCTAGAGCAATAGTGAAGGGAAATGTTTTTCTCAACAAGGATATACTAAAAATGAGCTGGCCTTCTATGCTATACAAAACAAGTTTGAATATAAGGTATTGAGATCGGACAATAAGGAGTACGTGGTAAAGTATTTGCATAAAAATTATGATTTTTTCCATGCTATATAAAAATGATTTTATAAAAATGAGCTTGGCCTCCTATGCTATATAAAAATTATGATTTTTTTCATCTTTAGTTGTTTGATAGGCTTTGTTTTCCATGGAATTTTTTTTTCCAACTATTGGTGTTTGATAGCCATTTTTAAAGAAGCCATGAACAAAAGATAATACAAAACAATGGTTTAAAATTGAATAGTCTAAAGAAAAATAATGTTTCACCCGAGTAAAATTCTTCAGCGTGGAATAAACTGCAAAAATATGTCATTGTGTGCGATTCGGAATGTTTATCTTTTGAGAAAAATGATTTTATATGCAATTAAAACAATCAAATTGTCACTTGATTGAGAAGAGATTCTTATGGAATTTTACCACTGAGTTGCTGCTACAAATAATAACATCCTCGAGTTTGCTCCACGTCTCTATTGCCTCTACAAACTTACCAGCTGCAAGTTCTTGTTTAATTTACTGAAACGGACTATTTTTTGAAATCAATTTGTTAGCCAACAAAAAAATTTCTCAACTCTGCCACTACATAAATAGGACGGTTTTGGAGGCTCATCTGTATTAAAAATTTCTATCAACAATGTAGTGAAATCATTTGTTAGCCTCAACATCAGTTTTAACAAGCAAATTTTTATCATCCTGCTCCATAAAACTATATCCAGTTCCAACAGGATTATCCAAGTCAAAATATTTTTAAAATACAAAAATAAATTGTTGGACCTCATTAATTGACGAGACAAACACCAAGACAATTCTAAATCCATCAATCCAAAGTATACACAATACACGTACATCAGCTGGGCTACAGAATCCATCAGCAAAAGCTAACCCTTTTCTAAAAATACCTCCAACTCTTAGGTGACTAAACCAAAAACTATCAATCCAATATTCACAAAACACTGCACCCTAGTTTCATGCATACACGTAATATTTTTTTTAATTCAAAAGACCACGTACGTGGATTAAGTTTTACAAATACATACAACTTCATAAACACACCATCAAATTTGTGCAATCTACTGTAGTGGAGGCGGATCATGATCAAGCTTGTCAAAAACCAAAGGACGTATGTATTTCTCGCTCGTCAGGTTCATAAATACCTTAGCCAAACCATCGTCAAATCGATAGGCTTTCATAACTTCCATTACGTCCTTCATGTCTAGGTTCATTGCCTCCAGCTTTTCTAAAATCAATTGCCAGTTCACATGATTATGTATATCTAGCGTAGCTTGCATTTCCATATCTTGAGCAATTTTTGTAGATGACTCAACAATCCTCAACAGGGCGATAGTACTCTCATCCACCGATTGTTTACGTCGACGCTTGGCTTTTTACGTCCCCTATTCGGCTGTACGCTTATGAGCATCATCTCCACATTTTTCATATCCATCTCATTCACACTTTCATTAGTGACTACGCGAAAGAGATAACAACTTGTTAGAAAAAAATACACGAATTGAAGCTTCAAAATGTATTACATACCATTGAATGGAGAGAAATGGTCGAAACCAAACACCGCGCAATCTCCAGTGGCCGCATCATTGCAATTTTTCTTGGTGGGTTAGTGAGTTGGTATTAGGTTGGGATGAGAGTACGCGATGTCGTTCAATCCATCTTTCAACACATTCTAACTCCGGATGACCTCTTTGAGCTTCAAAAAACTGTTTGAGTGACCCATTTTGTCATCCGTGTCAGATAGTTCTGACTTCATCGACAAAAGCTCCTCTTTCAACCCTTTGTTATCCACTTGAAGCTTGGTTATTTTCTCATCCATCAACTGCTTCAATCAACCACATTCCTGAAAAATTTTGTAGTTAGCAGAATTGTATATAAAATGGCTTCTTAAGTCTATAAAAAATGAAATTACTTTGACACATGAGCAATCAGGATTATAGATAGGATGAGACGGAGCACGAAAACTAAAGCTAGCAGCCCCTGTCTGTTGTTGCGAGTAACATATTTCAGGTCACATGTCAAAATATATTTGAAATTCATTTTTAGGGCCTGTCATATATGGTATCGTGAGCTCGACTTCGGATGGATCGATGTCATTTATCAGAACCTGTTTGACATAAGATGGAAAAAAGCTAAGCATGTATCCTTTTAAATATGTACAACTAATCAAATGATTACATAATAATTCAAACGTATTTACGAACTTACATTCTCACTTCAAACACTATCCTCCAACATTGCCACAGAAGGATGTTTGTGTGCAGTCCAATTCATAATTTGTGGATGTTTCTTACGTTCCCCTGAAGCGCATGTATGCACTCATACAGCCACACCTGGAAGGCCACTAAAAAAACCTATCAATCTGTAGTGCCTTGTTCATTTTGATAATCTCTTCCTTAATGACGATAATGTGGTCTCAAACAAATATCTACCCCAAGGGAACATTTCAAGAGTGGTAAAATCGTCTGCAAGTGCAAAAATGTATTGATTCACGACCTTCGGGTAGGGTATAGCAAATAGATACAAGGTTATAAGATAAATAATCCCAATTTTAACTACGTCAAAGTCTGGTGCATCATCCAGTGAAAAAAAGACTCGTTTGACATCTTCACTTATGACAACTTTTATGTCCCTGAAATATATATCCTTCAATGCAGACGATTTTTCATCAAACATCAGTCGATCATTGACCCCATCATATCCCAATCTAGTAACCAAACATAATTCAGCAATGGAGAACAGAATATATCTCTCATTTATGTTGAACCACATCTCCTGCTTATTGGGTTGCTTCACCTCCTGTAGTAATATATAGTGAATCAACTGTAGCTGCACCACTATCTCCCTACAATGCATGTAGTAAGAAATACTTGTGTTTTGCAAAATGTCCCTTTGAGCAGTAGTGAATTTCATCACAAATTGTTTCATGACACTCTGTATGAGTGTTATAGTGATCTTCCCAAGGAGCCATTTCCTTGGTTTTATTAAATAGCTCCAATCTTGTGAAATCGTAATATCAAACAAGTTACTGTCACTTTCAACAAATAAACATTTGGTCACAAATTCTCCAAAACATAACAAATAACAGTAGATAGTCACAACATGTATTAATGCAGATATCAGTTCCATATTTGTGTGTCATGTGCTTTAATATTTTTATCCACTTTAAAGCATATTAACATGTCATGAGACAGAATCAACTGCCATTTACATTTTGGAAAAATTAGCAACACAATAATACTTTAAAACATGATAGTGTAGATATTTTAATTCAATCCAGCACACTTTATAAAACATTTTCAGAGCACATAAATAGTAATCGATCAAACAGTACACCAAACAAGTCACAAACCCTTCAAATTACTAAAACCCAAAATAGGTTACAAAATCATATTTCGATCACAAAATACCCAAATCAGGTCACAAAGTAGTAAAAAT